ATTTGAATTTCCTTGGTAAAGATTCGTTGTCCAACAAATTGAGGCAAGTCGTTCTCGATAGCTGTGGATACGGTATTATTGTTGAATGCCAGCGAACAACCAGCGATATCTCCCTTCCTAAAGAAATAGAGAGTCCCGCCCACAGCGTTGGTTGGATGTCTGCCTGTCAAATCGTCTCGGTGCCAACATCGACGGAACTTGGCATTTTCATATACGAAAAGGACAATCAGAATCGTTTTAACAACCTTATTGAAAACATCACCTATCCTAAAAATGACATCTTGGTGTATGTTCGCTACCTCCAGACCGGACAGATTGAAAAAAAACTTATCTCAAAGAACGTGCGAATGCTTGGTGGGCTTCGTACTGGAATCCCAATTTCTATCTTGGAAAACTTTGAAAATGGTTCAAGTGCATGGAGTGATAACCTTTTAATTGTGGAGCTTAAAGCTTGTGCTGGCGGTCGATATATTGTGACCGCGGGATCAGGAGACAATGCTATTGTATTTAAGACCAAGTCGCAAACTGGCTTTAAAGATCGTGCGATACAGAGTGACCAATTTGATGATTTTGCCGATCTTCCAGAATTTGACTATTGCATTTTGGGACCCTCGACGGTTTTTACTTGTGAACCTAAAGTTGGTGAGAAAATCCAGGTGAATGCTTTAGCGTTATATCAAGACAACTTTATTCAAATTGGGAATGGGAATTGATTCTAAAATTGAGAGTCGAGTTTTGAAACCGATATTATTTTCTGATAAAATCATGTTCACAAATGTAATAATATTGTAATGGAATTGATCACTTGATTTAGACCGATGCTAAAAAATCAGAGGTCATAAACCACACAATTTTGATTAGATTAGCTTACACAAATTAGTAACATTTGATTCTCGATTTTATATTCGTTTCGATTCCAATCCCTAATTGAATTAATACATTTGGAGATATTATATTAACATCTACACTATGATTTATAATAGATCCACGTGGACGGGTCATGGTATGATGTTAAAGTTACCGAGGTCAATGGTGATTCTGTAAAGCATGTTGCTTGGTCTCCGACTTCCTCAAACAGCCCAATAGAAGACATTGAAAAAGATGAAGATACTGAAAAAGGCGAAGACGGTGGACAAGATGATGATTCTGAAGGTGATGGTTATTACCTTGGCTTCACAGAAGACGAAGAACTTGAACATAAAAAAAATCCTGATAAATCTTGGTGTCCATGGACGGAAGGAAAAACGAGTTGGGATATCAGGCCTTATCGCTGCCTTCACGTTGGCGATCTTGTCGAAGCACCCGTCACATACCCAGACTATCTCTTCCGTTACCATGGCCTTGAAGAGTCACAGCTTTATCTCCCAGCTCGCATTATTGATGTTCAGGATGATCAGTATATAATTAAATTCAGCCCTGCTGTCAGCGCTTACGCTTGGTGGCCCGGTCGTGCTTCAAGTGACGAATTTCCTCGCGAACCAGGCTCTAAGGAAACTGTTAAGAATCCATTTGATGGCATACAGGTTACCATGAATATGGATTGGGTTCGCCCTTACTCTGCTGGACCAAACCCTGTTTTTGGTACGCAGTCAATAAGACCACATAGTTGGTCAGCGTTTCAGGGCGTCCAATTCACAGACTTGCAACAAATCGATGATGATGTCCTGTGGAAATGATGTTAATGGTAATACGCTTTCATTGGGAATGCAAATCGACTGACATTTTATTTTTTTATTTATTATATTTTAAAAGATGGGATTCATAATTTTAATAAATTTTTTTTTTTTTTTTTTCGATGTTATACATTTTGTTCAAATTATCAAGTTAATTTAATTCAAAAATTCAAAAAAAATTTTAATAAATTCCTGCGTAAATTCTTATCGTTTCAATCGACTTCAACCAATCAGCATTTTTTTTTTTACAAAATTCGATCATCATAACGATTGGTTATTTATAGATGATTTACATATCGCACTTCTTTTCACAAGTCAAAACGATATTAATACTTTTAGATAGATAGGATAATTTTATATAACAATGAATTCTTTACAAACAGAGACGCGGCATATACGGCCTTATGTACATTATCATTGCGGTTGTCCTGATGTTAATAATCCTACTACTAGCATAGAATCAGAGAAGGAAGAAGAGACCTTTAATATTTATTCACCTGGAATACATTTTTCTACTTTTCCTATATCTAAATTATATTTTTGTGACGATTGTCATCAAATAAGATGTCCTAGATGTGTCCAAGAAGAGATAGTTTGTTATTACTGTCCTAATTGTTTATTTGAAGTCCCAACAGCCAGTGTGAAAAGTGAGAGAAATAGGTGTGCACGTAATTGTTTTCAATGTCCGATATGTCAAAACACACTTTCAGTTGTAGCTAGTAGTGAGCCACAACCAACTCCATTACCTATCTCACCTACCATGCCTACCGTTTCAGCCACCGGAGCACCGTATTATCTTTCATGTGGTGTTTGTCGTTGGGATTCACAAGAGATAGGAATGACTTTTGAAAAGGCAACTGGTCTAGCATGTAATATCTAAATAAATTTTATTTGAATTGATTCAAAGTGGAATTACCGTTTCTTACTCATTTAGTTTTACTTTATTCAGTACAACTTCAAAAGACTGAGGATGAGAGACCGGATGTTAAAGAATTTGATCATCTTAAAGATCAATTTGAAAAACACTTGCGACATAACACACCTTCTACAACCCTACCCTCTTCTTTATTATCTATTCCAGGAATGTCAATGAATAGTTTTAGCAGTAGGTATGGTAACACCGGATTGGCTCATGCTCAGCAAAAATCGGATGATGTTGAAAAGTATGAAGCTGCCGTCGATAAAGTTGAACCTGAAAGTGGATTGGTTGATGACTTGGTTCATTTAACAGACGTAAACCAAAGTATTTTTTCTATTTTTTTTTTTTTAAAAAATATATATATATATATATATTTTTTTATTTTACTTCAAAAAAAATCAATCAAATTAAATTTTTTTTTAATTTCGATTATAGTTACTACATTAACTCAAAGAATGAATCAACTTAGTGATCAACCTTACAAAGTGGAGTGGGTGAATTCTTATTGAATGTTGTGAAGTTACTTTACTTCATATAATGACTATTATTAAAGTTGGCGCGTTTGATTTTTTTAGGCGTCTTCAACCACAACGAATCCATCTTCGCACAAAGCGTGTAAAGAGATGTCGTTCGTGTCGTCATATTCTCATTAAACCAGAGCAAAAGGCTCAAGCGACACGATTCAAGATTAAACTTGTTGCATTGTAAGAATTGGAGTTGAAATTTATTTATTCTGATCTTGAGGTTAATTTAAAATGTTCTTCCTAATTTCAGGAAAAACATTCCAAAGATTACCATAGCAAGTTTACCAAAACTTATCCTTAATCAACGTACACAAATTGTTTTGAAATTTTCAAATCCATTATATGAAGAAATTTCGGTTGATTTAACTATACAAGAGGAAACTAATGAATGTGGAAAAGTTACGATCCTTGCGCCACATTTTAATATTACACCATATAATGAAGTATTGGAATATGAAGAGGATTTAATTTCATCAAGGCGTGCTGCAAAAGCTGATATTGGTATTTATGAAAAGCGTGGTAATTCTACAAGTATCATACTTGAAATCACTCCATTAGCCGAAGTTGAAGAATTCAAAGTATGTTTAATTATCAAATAATAATAATAATAATAATAATCCGAAAATATATATATATATATATTTACTTTTTTTTTCAACTTTGTAGTTTCCCCTTTTGGTTAAATATACTAGTAAAAACACCGAAAATAATGAGAATGATGGTGTCACAACAGAAGAAAAATCATCAGAAGAAACCAATTCTTCAAAAGCTGTAGCAAGCGATGAAATTTCTGCAGATGAAAGTAATGAAATCACAAAATCTTTATCTTTCTGGACTGTTATAGGATTGGGAAATGTTATTAAAGCACCTGCAGGAACGTCAGGTACAACGGTTAAAGGACCAAGAACGGAACCTTCTGGATCAAAAGGATCATCATCAAGAGGTTCAAGTAGTGGTAATCGTTCTGGAACTAGCAACTCAAAATCTTAATTTTCATGTATAGTAAGAAATGTACAAAATTATAAAAGAGAGCTGTTATGATAGTAATTGAATTTATATAATGAGTTCGAAATCCCTTCATTCATTTAATGATTAAACATCTAATTTATTTATAATATATTATTTATTTACTTGATATATGGATGAATAAATTAATAAGATTTTATAATAAATTCCATATCAAATTCATGTAATAAATTAACTTTTTTTTTTTTATTATAAGCATATCAAGTAAATGCAAATTAATTTGATTAAATGCATAAAATTTTTAAATTTTTTTTGTTTTTTTTTAAAAAAAAAAAAAAAAATGTTTAAAAAAAAAAAAATCTATATACAAAGAAAAAAATCAAAATCAAAAAAAAATCAAAAAAATCAAAAAAAAAAAAAAAAAAAAAAAAAAAATGCAATTTAAAATTCACTTTCGAAAAGAAAAAAAAATAAAAATAAAATAAATAAGGGATTTCAAAATAAATCCTTTTAACTTCTATCTTTAAAAA